CTAATATATGTTTTCCCGTCTAATGTATTAACTACCTTGCAAGTATCTCTTCCTACAAAGTCTATAATCACATACTTAATATTGTCAAATTTAGACTTCAGCTTACTATTACTATCACACTTACTCCTAGCAAGATACACCATATCACCAACCACAAACGAGTGCGCTTTTGCACGTTGTTTACGATCGTGATAAGACTTCATTCGCTTTTGATACGATCGTGCATCTCCCTCTACATTGCTTGAGCTCACATCAACATTCAGCTTAACTGACGGAAGCTCTGTACGTATCTCCCTATGAAAAAGCAAACTTGCCGGAGTTTTTCCTGTCATGGGATGAGGAATACTCCTGTACGACATCAAAATTTTAGGGAGCTCCTCCTCCCAGGATCTACCCTCAAGAGTAACAGCTTGAAAATTCTTTTTCAAATACCTGTGAAACCGTTCGATTTTCCCGTTACTTCTTGGGAAATAAGGCGAACTACGTACATGCTTAATTCCTTTAGAGCTCAAGAAACGCCTAAATTCCTGAGTGATAAATTGTGGTCCGTTATCTGAGACAATTTCCCCAGGATAACCATGCCTAAACGCGCACTTTTTAGGGTTTAACTTTAAGTTACGTTCCCTACACCTTTCAAATACCTCGTGCAGCCTATTTATTAATTGATCTATCGTTACTGCGTGAACGATGACGTCATCTACCGAGATTTCTACCCCTTTTTAGGCCGAACAAAATTTCTTCCATAACTTTTTGGAAGGTTTCGCTGATATTGCTTAACCCAAACGGAACACGCTTGAAACGAAAACAGACTTTGTTTGTTATAAACGTTGTCAAATATCTACATTCCTCTGACAGCGTTAATTGGAAAAATCCGCTTCTTGCATCAATTTTTGCAAAATATTTTGAGCCATTTAGGGCATCCAAAGTGTCTTCTACTTTGGGAAGGACATATCGTTCCCTTACAATAGCTTTATTTAACTCTCTAAAGTCGCAGCAAACCCTTAAACCTCCTGATGCCTTAGGCACCACTACAAGATTAGAAACCCAAGGGCTTGGTTCGGGTACCTCTTCAATGACGTCATCCTTCAACATTTTATCAATTTCATCATTAACCTGCTCTATTTGACTAAGGGGAATTCTTCGCAGACGTTGGCTTACTGGTTTAACATTTGGATCTAGTTTAATTTTATGCTAATAATTTGTAATTTGACCTAACCCGTGAAACAAGTCATTATATTCATTAACTAATGAGTTCAATCTTGGGTCATTAATCTTCTTAGAGTTAGAGTTAGTCTGCTTCACAAATTTGACTTGTTTGAATATTCCCAAGTCAAAACAGCTTTTTCTCCCGAGCAGTGACTCGGCTTGGCCTTTAATTACGTACACAAAGCTATGAATAGTCATCATACCTGCTTTCAAACTGGCTTTAAATCGACCAAGGCAGGTTAGCGGTACCTTCTGACCATATGCCACAAACTGTTCGGTTGTGCTTTCGAGTGGGTGTTCTTTGAATTGCTCTGTATACAACTGGGAAGAAATAATGTTCTGCCTACAACCGGTGTCGGCGACCATCTTTATCTTGCGACCATTGATTGTAATCTGGACAGGACTGTCTTGCCCTTCCATGAACAGAATCTGTTCGTCTTCGGATTCGCTTTCAATACACGATTCATTACTATCTGAATCTTTGCGTCGAATTGCACGGACGTTTCTATGCGCATTCGTCTTTTTAATCGAAGTCTTGAGATTCATACGGCTTTCGAGATACACCCTTCAAGCGACATACGCGAGCAAAATGTCCTAACCTTTGACAGTTATTACATTTCATACTTATGGCTTGACAATCTGCTGGCTTGTGGCCCACGCCGCCACACCTATAGCACTTGAAATTTTCACTATTGTAATTCCTATTTCGCTTGTCAGGGTTATTCAGCCGGTCAATGTTAATGATGTTGTCTTTTGTTTCATGACCAGAAAGGAGTCATGCTTCTTTTATGGCGCTTTCGCTGCTTCTTGCTATTCTGAGGGTCTTAGCCAGGTCTAGTTCTTCCTGAGCTAAGAGTCTTTCTCTTAGTTGTTTTGAATAGCATTTTTCTACGATTTGATCCCTTAGCATTTCGTCTTCGAGCGCCCCGAATTCACACGTTTTTACCAATTCCCTTAACGACGTTAGATACACATCGATTGTCTCATCAGCATTTTGTTTTCGACTGCGAAACTTGCGTCTTTCAGCAACGACATTTCTTCTCGGCGCGAAGTAGCCTTCAAGAGCTTCAACTGCCTCTTTAAAACTTTCTTTCTTGCCGGCCAATGTTCTGAAGATTCTTTGCACCGCCGGCCCTAGGCAATGCAGCATCGTTGCTGTTTGGACACTATCCGACTTTTTTTCGAGCTCGACCGCTACAGCATAGATATTAAAAGACTCTGTCCAAGCTTTCCATTCTATGTATGCATCTGTGGCTTCTATATTGAACTTCGTAGGAGGAGGCAACACGCTTTCAGCCATCCTTGTCGCCAATGTAGTAATGTTGTAATCCTTTATTCACATGTGCCTACACTTTATATACTAACTGATTTACATAAATTATATATAATGAATTCCTAATACACTACATTTACTTCCTTCCTAAGAAGATCTTTTCTTGCAGACTATTAAAGAAAACAAGAATAAATTTATCTGTGAATATTACAAAAACGTTTATGGTGTACAAAATACTATTATATGAATGACAGACATCTGTCATTCATTATAATCATATTGTCAAGGTTGTAAACGTAATACTGCAGAGATCTGTAAAAAATATACTTTCATTGTTAACTTAGAGGGAAAGAAGTTTTCTTTTGTTTTCTTTGTGTAGTGGTGGGATGGATTTACTTGGGGGTATTGGGGGAGGGGGTTCTATGTGAAATTCTTGGCAATTATCAAACAAAATAATGAAGTATTGGGTCTTTATGACCTCATAGGCAACTTTGTTTTCCAAACAAATTGACATGTTTGGTGCCTTGAGCCTGTCTGGGGTCCATAGTGATGATACATCCTACTTCAGTTGTTGGTCAGGTTATGACCAGCCCTGGTTTAGCAACCCTTAATCTCAAATGCCGAGGACTAGATAATCTCAAATGCCAAGGACTAGAGAGCCAACCATTGGCAAAATAATTTTCATTCAAAAAATTATTATTCAGCATGCGTATTTCACATATTGGTATTTTAAGCAACAGTTCTACACATCTGGCAAAAACAAAGAGTAACTTAATACCAACATAAAACATATTCGCTTTTTGTAAAACAATTACTTTCATGAAACAATATAAAACATGAAAATCTGATCAAAATCTCGCCTATATTATATTTTTATACATAGGCATACTGGCACATTTTTTGAGAGGGGGGCTGGGCTGAATTTGCCCAAATGACATGACGTCATAGATTTTGTGACGTCATCACAAAATTATATAATCTGAGAAGACTACAAATGAAAGGCTTTCCTTTAAAGATAGTCAGACGTGATATAAAACAAAATATGTCGTCCCTAGCCATTTGAATTATAAGCTAAGGTTAGGTCCTTGGTTGTCATGTTACTTTTTACAAAGAAAGTACTGATTTTCGACTGGGATGAATCCGATGATTCCGTCACTGGATGACATTTTACTTTTTTACCATTGTGAACCAATCGAGAATGCATCTCTTTATAATCAATGTCAATTTCCTTATGGCATTCCTCGCACCGAACGCGATGTCGGTGCTGTCTTTTACAAGATGCCATACATAATGATTGTAAAAAAATCGCATACTTTTATGTCTATCTAAAAGTCTAAAATTAGTCACATTAGGTCATTGTACAGTATTTGTATGGTTATGTCAATGTCAATTATAATGTAGTATCTATTTTCAGTGACTGCTGTGTCATAGCCGCGGTGCTGCCCAAGCCAGAGACTGTAGTTATGCAACCAATGCTATCAATTTTATCAAAGGAGATAAACATTACTGATCCGATTGTTACTACGCACACTTATGACACCACACCTTCGCAATATGTGTAGCTATATACTTATGTAGTTTAATAGTTGTATAGCCTACATTATGCTAGGTAAACTGATGAATATAGGCATGAATACAGTAGTGACATTTTATTAGTAGCCATAGCAATTGTTCCTTCATTGTAGGGATTTACGTCTGTGGTATATGCGTAAAAATCAAAACCAAATCCGGTTAAGTTAGAGCACTTGACCTTTATTAATAAAGGTTAACCTGACGTCCAAATTCGTTCCTAAATTGTTCTAATTAGTCAACCGTTATGGTGTGTTAATTGTTGTGATGGTTGATTGTTGTGATGGTTGATTGCTTGTGTGTCTTTTGCACATATGTCATGGCAAGAGAATTTCATATTGGTTAAATTCCATTGACTGTTGTATTCTACAGTGACTTTGCAATGGTTTTTCACTTCCCCAATGTATGTCCAGTTTGAAAGAATATATTTTCGTGAAGGTTCTTACTTCTGAAGTATATCTTTCAACAGCTCTATTCACAATTTCTTTTACCTGAGAAGGCGTTCTTGTGCACAACTGTCTCCAAAGCATCATTCACTACTTTGCTGCCTCTATTAGAGACAAATTCAGCCAAGTTGGTATTGCCTTCATCTTTCTATCTCGCTGCCAATGCCATTAGTTCTAAATGGCATATAATTTTGTGATGTTGTATAATTTAATAATAATAATTTAAATTTATAGTGCACAATGTTCCATTTGAATATGTTCACAAGCACATAACAATTTTACAGAATAATCAATACAACTAGTTCAAGCACTTTCATTTTGCTTTTTGAGCCTTTTAGATTGCATTTCCACTTTTTTGTAGCTTTAGACGTTTTAGGGGGACCATTGATCAGGGTAATATCTAACGATTTCTGATGGTTTCTAATATTCTCCTTAAAACGATCTTACTCTTGTGGCTAGATGTCACAGATTGAATGTTTTTCATGCAACTGTAGCTCATTTTGATGGTATTCCTGTTTTTTTGAGGACTTAATAGGGAAGTGAATATCTAAGTGGCATAGAAAATCTTTACCAATGTTAGTTCTCACATTTTTACTATAGGATGGATTGTACTAGATATTCCTTTATCAGTTTGTTTTTGGTGCATTAAGGGTGTGAAGGACTAGATACTGTAATTTGCTTTGATAGTTGCTGCAATGGAGGGCTTGTTTGTATAGAGGTGCTGATGAGCCAAATGCTTGTTTGTTGGACAAGAGTTGGGAGATTCATTTATTGATTGACAAAGGTACTTGTCTGATAATTAGGTGATTGGTTGGGAAAACTGTTCATATGAAGTTGTTCGCTGTTTCCTTTTCTATAGGGTCAGTAGCTAAGCCAAGCTTAATGTCTAAGACATTAACAATTTGATGATTGACCTCTGGCGTGATCGTTAATTCAAATTGCTTTAATAATCGGTGTAATTTACTTCTTGCCTGATCTGTTAATTTACCAGTGGTCCCAGCAAAACAAGTACAAACAGACATGATCTTTCCCAAATGTTTTCGGTAATCCATTTAAAATTAATAAACTAGTTTGCAAACTTCTGCACCATTGAAACTTCCCATTGTGGCATTGAACATATGTTGATTGTTGTGCTTAAACAGAGGCTTTCTATCATTAAAGTGTATTGACCATACACTTGACTCTTTGATTCACAGTTGAACATCTCTGCAATATTTAATTTAATTTAATTTTAGATTCGCCAGACATAAAATACATTACAATATAGACATAGGTTACAATATAGACATAGGTTACAATATAGACAAACTTATAAGTCAGAAGACATGAAACATGCCTTAAAAAAAGAGAGTGAAAGTGGAAGGGATACCGCAACAGCCCATAGCAAATTACTGCAGACCCTTTAAATACAATATGTAAAAAAGTATTTAAGACTTGAAACAAGAAATTAATTACAGCACTTGAAAGAGGACACAAGACTACGGCAACAATTGCACTTTAAACATACTGTCTTAAAAGTATGCGGATTGTCACAGTCGAAAATATCTAAGGCAGCGAAATAATATTTAAGCAAGACAGATTTAAATGATGCAATACTGTCCATCCTCAGATTAAGTTCATCAGCCAGAGTATTCCAGATTTGTGTAGATCTTATCACATACAACTTCTGGTAGGTGCTGGTTTTGCATTTTCCCACGACATATTTTACAACACCCGAGCTGGAAGATCTGGTTGATCTGACTTCACAAACTGATGGTAAAACGTTAGAACTGACATTTATTAGACCGTGCATCATTTTGGAAAAAAATACCATATCGAGATATTCATGCCAGTATGTTAGAGGAAGCAAATGCAACGATTTCAGTCTTTCGCTATGGTAAATTCAAGATATATTTGGTACTCCATCTCTGGATCCTTTCGACTTTGATTATTAAGTCTATTGACTGAGGGGCCCATATCTGGGTGGCATACGCAACAAGAGGCCGAACCAGTGCTAAGTATATTGATCAACTTACGGCTGAGAGCTTATAATGAATGAGACGTTTCTCTTTATATAGCCAAGTAATTTGTTAGCGCGAGCTGTTTGTACATAGACGTGTTTGTTCCAAGTAAGGTTATTAGAGATCCATACCCCTAAATTGCACTCGGCATTGACCAGCTCAAGGGTTTTACCTTTAAAACTATAAGTTGAATGCACAATGTTGACTTTCCTTGTGATTTGCTGTGTTTTGCACTTCTCACCATTAAATGCAAGGCCTGAGCTATTTGACCAGTGCATCCAGATGATCCAGATCATCCTGAAGAGACGCAACATCGTCAACAGATTTTATCTCCTGATAGGTCTTAGTATCATCAGCAAACATTGCGATGTTATTTGTTTTAACTGCATCAGGGAGATCATTCACGTAAAGCAAAAATAGAGCTGGACCAAGGATAGAACCTTAGGCACTCCAGAACTAATTGGTAGAGACTCAGATGTGGCGCCAAGTGCGGTTACGCGTTGGTAACGATTTGTTAAATAAGAACCAAACCACCGTAGTAGACTACATCCAAACCCGAACGCAATCAGTTTTTGTAACAGACCTTATCAAAGGCCTTAGACATGTCCATATATACTACGTCTATCTGACTTCCATTATCAAGTGGGGAGCCAATGTGATGTAAAACTTCAAGAAGATTGGAGGTGCAGGATTTATCATCAAGGAATCCGTGTTGACACTCTTTGACAACCTCGCGTAATCGTTCTTTGAAACTGTTCAGGACGCATCGCTCTAGGACTTTGGACACCTGTGATAGTAGCAAAATCGGTCTATAGTTCTCTGTATAGTCAGTCTCGCCTTTCTTGAATACAGGCACAACGTTAACATTTTTCCATTCATTCAGAACAATACCCAAAGTTAATGATTTATTGAATAGCTTACAGATGGATGGCGCTATTACAAAAGCTGTTTCCTTAAGCAAGTGGGCAGGGATTCCATCCGGCCCAGTTGCTTTAGTTACATCAAGGGCCTTTAGCGTAGCCTGCACTTCGGTGACAGTTAAACACAACTCAGTCATATAAGATTCATCTGGCAGAGGGCTATCCTGAAGTATGATCTCTGCGCTAGGTGAGAATACTGAGATTAAGTACGAGTTGAATAAATTTGCTATTTCCTGAGGTTTCTCAGCTGCTGACGATCTGAGTGGTGGTTGTTGGTCGTGAACATCAGACCTGAAGCCTGTCACTGACATAGAAACACTGTTTGGTATGGCACAAGATTATGAATTATTTTTCAAGATTGACCAGAAACTCTTAGGGTTTTTGTTAATTTCAGTTTCCATCGACTTGAAAAATATTTTACGGCTCTCTCTAAGCATATTCTTTATATCTGATCGCAATTTTTTAAACTAGCTTGAAGTAGCAAGTCGGAGATTTTTTTAACTTCTTTCTCACATGGTTTTTCTTATTGATCAAGTTAAGTATAGCACTGTTTATCTGCAGCACAGGATTCCTACCCTTTAACATCTTGGATGGTATGTAATCCGACACTGCAGCTAAGAAAGTATCTTTCCGCTGCTGCCAGTCAGTGTCTATATCTAAGTGGTTTATAATTGAAGAGAGGTTATCGAAGGGCGATAGCAAGAACAAAACAGGATTTTCTTATCGGTGACCGTAGTAACCAACGATGAAACAACCTCAAGTTCTTTAGGGCATGAGGAAACTGAAGCTCACATGCAGATTTGAATGCTTCGCTTTTAATTGCAATCAATACTCCCCCAGCTTTTTGCTCTAGTCTATCCTTTCTATAAATAATATATCCACTGTGCAGGATTTCAGAGTTGTTGACACTGTTGTTAAGCCATGTCTCGTTTACACAGACAATGTCATAGTCCTCAGTGTAGACAAGGTTTTGAAAACGATGTAGATTATAAACTTTTTACTCTGCCCGTCCTGGTCTTGAATCCTATTAAAACTTTTCAAACTTCTCGCATTCAAAACAATACATTTGATATCATTCTGGCTGTTGAACACTTGCTGATATGGTCCTGGGTTTGCAGGCCACATATACTGGCAAAGTCTCTGGATGTCCGAATCCGTATTTTAAATTCTGAGATTGTAAGCCCGTCGGTGAAAGTGGGCTTACATATTTTCCAAGATGAGTAGAAAACATCCTCAGTTTGACTATTAGCTTTGCTTACTAGACATGGATTCATTATGAATCGCATGAAAACCAGCAAGACAACGGAGCTCAATAAGTAGTGACCAGCCGCCATTTTGCATTATATTTTATTCATATTAATATGGATTACAGGGCATTGAAGACAATCTAAATGGAGAGAAATTAAACACAGTCCCATACTGTTTTTCCTACCAAACCCCATGTGTAATAGAGGGAATTATCACTTTAAAGTAAAAATCAAGTTTTGCTTGTTTAGGTAAAAAATATAAGGGTTTGAGTAGGCTTAGTTTGCTGTTGAAGGATAGAACCAGCTCAGATGTGTGAAGCTTCCATTTTAAGCCTGAGTCGATTTTTAGTCCGAGGGATAATTTTGAGTGTACTTGTTTAATACTTCCTCCAGCAAACCTAATATCTTGAAAGGGACCAGTAAAATTAGAACAACCCAAGAGCATGTACTCTGTTTTACTTTTTGTTTTTTTCTGGATGAGGAGTTAGTAAATTATCCTGACACCAAATTGACAGTTCATGTAGGATCAAATTCAAACTATTTGCAATGTTATCTGGGGTTTTCCCAACAGCATATATGGTAGTATCGTCAGCATACATTTCGGTTTCGTCATCAACATCTTTAGTGATATCTGGCAGATCATTGCAAAAGAGAGGAAAGAGAATGGGTCCAAGGACAAACCCCTGGGGAACCCCATGCTTGACTTTACTCCTGAACTGCTGATAAATAAAAGCTTGTTATAGTGCGCTATGTTGTGAAATGTTAAAATTGCTTGTGAAATACAAACTAATTATAGCACATATAGTCGACTTGGTCTTTTCCACCATGGCATACTTCCTTTCAAGCATTAACTAATGCTTCAAGATATCGGCTTGAATGCTGTTATTGGAAATATAATATCCCTTACAATAAGCAGCAGCCTGTTTCATTATGGCATGTGAAATTCATCACACGAAGAACACATTCGACTTGCAGCAGGGTAATTTGACGAAATTTTGCTATTTTTATTAGTTAATTTGTTTGATGCCGATCATCTTAATATAGCTGCATGCAACTTAAAATTTGTAAACTACCGCCTGTTATAGAAATACAATGTTTTGGCCAAAGTTTCACCATGCAAATCAATAATCTTTTGATATTGTCACTAATGAATGTTCGCATTGATCCAGATGACAAATGGCCAAATTATCTATCACTCCAAGTCAAAAGAGTTTCAAGAGTTCTGCGTAGTAACTGTGATGGTGGTTTGAAAATTGAATATTCTAACATTGAAGCCGGTTTTAATCCAATGCTGCTAGAGTTTTTAATAGTCTTCCAGAACATATTTGAAACTAATGGATTTTAAAAATTATAAGATTACTCTTAAAAGAATTTTATTAGATCAGGTAGAGAAAGGATTGATAAGGATTAATTTTCTCACAACCTGATTTTAACTATTTAAATTTATTTATAAGACAGTTGTAAAAATTTAGAAATAGTTAGCTTTTTTAAATGTACCCATGAAGAGCCATGCAATATGGATATGCCAAATTAAATCTTTATTATTATTATTAGTATCTACAAGAGCATTAACTTCTACACCACCAACTTGACATTTAACAAAAGGTTGGGAAGGAATATGAAAAGAATTAAAATTGTCACTTATGTGGGGGTGAACTGCATTCCTGCCTAGGTTCTTTGAGCTGCCACTTGTCCATTTAAATGATTGCCATAGTCTTGTGCCAGATGCCCGTATCCTTACATTCAAAGCACAGATTCCCTGTTCAGTGTGCCTTGCCGTTGGGACCATCGCTGGGTACCACCATTGTACGCACAGGAATTTCGTTGGATTGCCCATCTAAGACGTTGGTGATGCAGTTATATAGCAAATGAAGGTTTAGGGCCACTTTCAGAATGTTCCTTTGAACTTGGTGGTTGCAACTCGAACTGTTCCTGGAATTGACTTGCTTGATTAAATTTCTTTTGCTTCGTTGAAAAGCGTGTATTTCATTGAGGAACCAGAGCTGTGTCATGTGTAAATATCTTCAAACACACTGTTGACATTCTGGAGCAAACCATATAGTTCTCTCAGTTTATTCAGGTTTTCTGCAGCATTGCTAAGTGTTGCCACCTGATTTTTGGATAGCTGTTTGAAATAACCAATCAGGTCATGTCCATTGTTCTTTTTCTCAAGCAACTCGTTCATTGTGGCCTCATGCTTTTCAAAAGAACTGCTCCATCTAATCTTAATTTTCTGTGTAATTGTAAGATATTTGACAGTATTCAGAGTATTGATGGTATTAATTAATTTGTATAATTACCTTGGGTCGGTACCACACCAAGGTCATAAATTCGGCTCCTTTTTTTCCATTTTGTGTCGAGCCGCGTGCATAGTTGAAGAGCCTGCGGAGGAGACAACAACTTCTTGTAAATAAGTGTACTTCCGGGAAATTTCAAGCATCAGCCAAAGCGAAACGGAACCCGAAGCTGTCTTTGCACAAGATCCGTCAAAATTGTTGATTTAAAACCAGAAGATGTGATAATTTTGACATACATGTTAAGCTGGATAACTATTCTCAAGTATATGTTGATATAATGTACAATACTTCGTGTGCATAGCATGGGAATACCACGGCCAACTTTCACTTGTGCAAAAAACAGTAGGGAGCCAGCTTAAGCACACATGTTTTTTAACAAATTTATTTGGATCAATGTATATACAAACATGCAAAGAAAAAAGCGAATATTTACATAGTAAAAACACAGACATTTTAAAGTTAGATCCAAAAAGGCAAGGTACGAACAGGACTCTTTTGAAAAGTTCCCATGCAAGGCACCTGGCAGTGTCCAATTATATCATTATATATACAGTTGTATACACATGGTACACATACGCACACTCACAGACAAAACACACACAGACTGGTTACACACAAATGCTTAAAGATAGACTATCAAAAAACGAATTTATTTTCGCGGTTCTCTATGACAGAGACAGTCACGCACCAAGGACCAAGTACAGGATAGTTCAACATCATATACTGAGCATAGAAGTTCTAAATATCTGTGTTTAAGAAAGTTTTTGAAAGAGATAGGGCTAGAGAAAGAATCTGGATTGACATTGTGACATACACTGTTCCACGGTTTGACAATACGGTTGAAATAAGAAAATTGAAACATAGCAGTTCTGCACATGGGGGAGTTTGAAGCATTACACCAGTAGCTTGGCTAAGTCGAGTACGTCCATGTTGAACAAAAGAGACACAATCGTTAATGTTAAGATCGATGATCTTTCATCTCTCTATCGTAGGAGAGTGGTAAGAGTTCCAACTTCAACAGGCATTGCTTATGTGGTATTTCACAAGTCCCGGTTCTTAGAATCCATTTTGTGGCTCTTCGTTGTACTCTTTCAATCCTTTCACTGAGTT